ATATATATATATATATATATATATATATATATATATAAATTATTATTATTATTATCAAGTATTCATTCAACCTTTATTTATACAGGTTAATCCCATTAAGCCTCAGGACTCATTTACAAGAGAGACCTGATCTTAACAAAGAATGATGACAACAATGGACATCATAAAGGATGCGTACAAATTTAATTAAAAAAAAATTTAACAAGCGAAAATAAAATGGTATTTAAAAAGGATCATTAAAAGGAAAAGTAGTGAGAAAACAGCTAGGTTGTAAGGTGGTGTAGAATACTAAAAAAACAGGAACATTATTATTGTTGTTGTAAGGAATATTAATCTGAAGGTATAAATCTCATTCTGACTAAGTAAAGTTATATTACTTTTGGTAAAAAGGTAGACAGGACTGTGGTTTGATTTTATGCTACAATGGTCTGCCATACAGGTCCATGCACGACTGCCGCAGCCGAGTGGCTGTTGCTGATTCACGCGCTGCCTCCCTCCCTCCGCAGCGTCACTCTATTTAAATCCCCCCGCGCCCCCGCCCCCTGCTGTTGTGGCTGTCGGCATCTTCACGTCGCGTGCGAGAAGTTTGTTGCTGCCGGACTTTCACCGTCGGACTCGGTGTTTTTTTTTTATTTTTCTTTTTTTTTAAACTCTCACTGACGTCCGGCCTGTTCTCCCTCATCATGACCACAGCAGAGATGCCTCGGAACAGCGGTGTAGTTGCGGTAAGTCGGAGGAAAGTGTGCGGGCGGTTAACTCTTCTCGACTCGTCGTCGTCTGAAAACAGCCCGGGGCTCCTCTGCGTCCATTCATCGTTGTCGTCGGTGTCTCGGCTCGTGTTTTGTCAAGTTATTTGCTCGTGGACGGCGGCGTTTGTTTCGTTAAACTTCTTATTCATCCTGGTGCTAGTTGGACTTTTTTTTTTTTTTTTTTTTTAACGCGTTCAGTCAAGCAGCTGGAGCGAGTGGGTTATTTTAGGCACGTTTCACCACCTGAAACAAATGACGGTGATTTAATGTTTCCCTGAGAAATGTTTGTCATATTTTCTGTGTTCAAAGGAGCTGCTCGTTTTTTCTATATTTAGCCGGAGTTAATCCTGTCTTATGTAATCAGAAACATGATTGTAAAGACTGGTGCTTTGTCTACCGCTGTTTTTATTTGTATGTGAAATTAAAAAAGTGTGAAGTTTACCACGTTTAAAGGCAAGTTTTCTCACTTCAGTGATGCAGCAAAATGTTCATGTTGCTCAAAATGTAGATTTGAGATATAAGGAGCCAAGACTTCATCAAAACCCTTTTATTCTGGATCATTTGAGTAATGGATCTTCAGGCTTTCAAGGTCTTTCAAAGTATTTTTGGACTTTAGTTCGTTTATTTTCAATCATCTGACAATGACTACATTTTGCACACGTGTGCTTAAGAACAAAAGGAGAACAATGGGGGGAGTTTAAACTTAAATACTATTGACAGCAGGTGAACAGTGGGTCTTTAAGATAGGAATAAACAAACAGACCAGACTGAGAGATTCATCAGCCATCAGTTGATGATCTACTGTATGACAGGTCTGTTACTCTTTAGGAATCATCTTGTTGGTGCTAAAGTGCTTTTGTGTTGGATTTAATAAAAGAAATGCAGACATTTTGACAGGTTTTTTTTTTTTTTTAAGTATCAAAGTGCCTAAAAGATCTGATTTTTGGTTTGTTGTGTTGCCACATGGTTCATCCCTTGAGTTTAGCCTTTTTTGCATATTTGAATGGTTTTGTAGATAAAAGTTGGTGGTTTTACACAAATATATACTCCTAATGGTCAGATGCAAGGATTAAAAATAAACTCAAAGTTCAAAGAAGAACTTTGAAAGACATTCAGAAAACCTGAGCATTGTTTTAAAAGATTTTGTCTTGCTGCTTGGAAGCAAAATATATATATATATAAAAAAAGTAACGACTCAAGACTTTAGCACAGTTCTCTCTGCTTTTATAGTTTATCCATTCTTGTCAGAGTCAGAGTTTCTTTATTGTCATTCGCACCTCATGTGGTACATGTGGTGGAGCGAAATTATGTACGCAGGGTCCCAGTTACATCCAACAATAAAATGTATAAGAAAAACAGTAATGACATCTAAGATATGAACTAAGAAAAACATCAACTAAATATACACTAAGCACTCATAACATAAAACGATGTTGTGAAACGATGACAGCAACTCATGAGGGGGGAAAACATCAGAATGAAAAAGCAATTTCAGATTATTTTTTTTAAAGTAATCACGTCTCTTATCTTCAGGTCCCAATCAAGAACATTGAGCGGGAGCTGATCTGCCCAATCTGTAAGGAGCTCTTCACCCACCCTCTCATCCTGCCCTGTCAGCACAGCATCTGCCACAAGTGTGTCAAAGAGCTGCTGATGCTCAACCACGAGGACTCGTTTGACGCTGGTTCCGAGTGCTCCCTGCCTGGCAGCCCCAGGTCCAGGGTGCCGTCCCCCTCCATGGAGAAGCTAGACAGGCTTGTGAGATCAGGTGGGTGTTGGGGTAAGATCATAAAAACAATTTGAATTTCCCTAAAGATGGAATCGGTGTGTTCTGTGCAGGAAGATGTTTGTTGTAGGCAGGTTAGCACATTTATTTTAAGTTAAAGTGAATGTGTGTTCAGAGATTAGTGGCAGTTGTCTGGGCCAACATTGATGGGTACTAATAATCAGACCTCATCAAATTAATCTGTCCGTACCGAAGGCTTCCATGAATGGGCAAAATGATTTTAGATCAGCTGTTCTGACTTCCTGTTGCATTATCTTCCTCTTACTTCCCTCAGCTTCAGCTTTCAGTTCTGCAGACTTCTCATTCAGTGGGTGTGAATCGCTTAAACCCGCTATCTACTTCTGCAGAACTGGACAAAATACTCCAGTTTGCAGACAAACTTGCAGGTTTTATTAGATTTACAAGGATGGTAGTGTTACTGAACAGAACCTCGTGAAGCGGCAAACAAATCTTCAGCCAATGCAAATGAATGGGTTTGAGTGAACAGGCTTTGAAAAGTTGGCTTGGCGGGGGAAAATAGGCCAAGTATTGTGTAAATGGGTATTAGTGGGGTGTGGACACTGCCCCTCCTCCCCATTCTTGTCCCAGATAAACAAGAACGAGCATAAGTGAAATGTAAAATAATTTTATCGCTCAGCTGCAACACTCAGTCAGCACTTCTTTTCACACCGTTTGCTTTCCTGGCACCATCAAGCAGAGAGCAGAGGAACTGGATGAGCTTTAGTTGTGTCAACATTCAGGGGAGGGGGGAAAAACACAAAACAACTTTTGACAAGATCTCTGAAGCTCTAATTACCGGCATCTGTGCTGTCTGCTCTAAACGGCCCCGGGGCATTGAACATCTCCTTCAGTCATTTTAGTTTATGATTTTGTATGGAAATGCTTTAGGAAAAAAAAAAGCTATAATTTTCAATCCACCTTTAAATCTGATTTACTGTCGTGTGCCACACGAGACAACATCACATCTGTAAGCTCATTTAAAGGATTTTAAAGGATTTTAAACAAAACTGCAGAGAGGTAGTGTTTTTACTGGGAAGGGGGTATCTAGATTAATTTAACAAAGTGTTTTAAGTTTACAGCTCAACTTGTGGTACTGCTGAGTTCAGGTTTGGGTGGGTCAAAGTTTAAAGTGTTAAACATTGTGCTGGGACTTTCAAGCAGCATTTCTGCCCCCGAGAGCTTTTACCATGGCTCAGGCCATTTTCATCTTATTTGCACTTCTGACCATTTTTCCTGGGAGGATCAGAGTTGTCTGACTTCCACGCTGTGTACTTAATCAAAGTTTGAATTTTTAAACAATTACTTTAGCTTCACAATGCATTCGACAGAAAATGAATGAATTGCTTTGAAATTATTAGCTTGGACAAGTAGCAGTGGAGACTAAACCCAAGTTAAAATTGTGAGATTTCACAAAATTTAATCTAGATCCTGTAATTTCTTCAGGCAGTTGTATAATTGAATAAAATGGTAGAATGGAACTGTTCTGGAGACGCCACATTGATTCAGCCAGCTGTAATTTCATTACGTTTTGCTTCCTAGAGACAGACTTTCTTGTGATCATTCAAAATGGTTTTCATTAATAGTTTGACAGTTTGTGGCTGTCACACAAATTAATATGTAATATTTATTAACTTTATTTTACTTCTGAATGTGTTTATGCCAGAATGATGTGGAGAAAATGTTTGTTCATGTAGCAAAATACGCACTTAAATTAAACATTTTAATATAAAAATGTGTTTTTGAAAATTAAGGTACTGAAGTTTGATTTTTTTCATTTTTTGGCTTGATCAGCCAAATGTATGCATTTTGGTTTCTATTGAACTGGATGCCGTGTTGACGTGAAAGAACATTAAGAATCTGATGCAAAATGCCAGAGGCACCAAAACTCCCTGGAGTACAGTTCAGTGTGAACAGCCTTTAGAGTTTTTCAGCTTTAGTATAAAAACCCTCTGAGTCTCTGCTCTCCAGCACAAACTCCTCATTCAGAGTTTGCTTGAATGAGTTCTTTCTTTACGGACAGAACTCCATCTGTTGATGCAGGAAATTACTGAAAACCTGCTTGTGAGAAACCAAAGCTCACGTCTTGCTGACAGAAGTAATCGTTGTAGCATAGTTTATATAATATCGGTTCTCCTTAAGTGCATTTTTAAAATCCTGGATATTGTGGAATTTACTTGGGGATTACTAAATGAAGTTATTCCTGTTTTTAGAAAGATTTAATCTGCAGATTAGAAATCTCAATCCCTGTGCATTGAGACATTTTTGGCAAACTTTTAATAATTAACACAAACTCCTGAGTGGAACAAGCGTGTTGTTCTGGTTCTTCTATAGAGAGATCAGATAACCTGTAGTCATAGAGATGCGACCTGCCGGGAAGGAATGAACGAGGGATTAGATGAAGGGAGAGAAAGAGAAGATTTAAGCCAACATTTATCAGTGTGTAGTTTGAATAAGCTTTGTTGTACTGGGAAGGAAAATGTGTACCAAGACTTTGTCTACATTCTTTCTCAGCTTTGTATTTTTTTCTAACTCATCACTCTTAATAAATTTAAAAAAGTGTAAATAAAATGTTAAGGAATATTTTGGTGTGTTGAAGAATTATGCGCAGCAGTTACATTAAATTAACATAATGGTTTAACTGGTGTGTATAGAAAATGCATAGTCATAGCGAGAACACTGTTGAGATCTAAACCAAATCCCCTTCACCTTTGATTTGCTATTCAAGCTTTTTGTTTAACTCTGTGGTTTATTAGGGTCAAATTTGAAACGTCTACCGGTACTTTAAAAATAAATAAATATCAGAGCAGAAGACTAAATTTGACTTTTTTTCAATGACTCAGAGCGACAGCCTGATAGCTGTTGTTAATTAATGTTTGTCAACACTACCGTTTGGTATCGATTGTCTTGAGCAGGTCTATTGGGGCGGCTGTGGCTGAGTGGTTAGAGCAGTCGTCCTCCAATGCAAGAGTTGGGGGTTTGAATCCACCAGCAGTCACATGCCAGTGTCCCTGGGCAAGACACTGAACCCCTCATAGCCTCTGATGTGTGTTCCATCGGTGTATGAATGTGATAAAGGTCTGATTAGTCTCTTTAGAATTATTTGTTCAATTGGCTTTGTAGAGATTTAGTAGAGTGCTGTATGAATGGGTAAATGAGGACACAGATTGTAGTGTAAAGTGCTTTGAGTATCTTGAAATAAGATAGAAAGGCGCTATACAAGTACAGTCTATTTACCATTTATTCCCCATTTAATTTTTTTTCCAATAAGAAAAAAAAAATTGAACTGTAATTAAAATTCTGATGGCGAACTGAAGAACAATGGTTGATTTTTGATAATGGGTTGAATTTTTGTTTGAAGTCTGAGCTGTCCTTTGGTTTACAACCAAGTTGAGTTGATGTGGGATGGAAAGTATTAAATGGTAAATGAACTGTACTTGTATTTTTTCTTATCAAGATGCTCAAAGCACTTTACAACACAATCTGTGTCCTCATTCACCCATTCATAAATCACTCTACTAGATCTCTACAAAGCTAATTGCACAAATAATTTTAAAGAGACTAATCAGAACTTTATCACATTCATACACTGATGGGACTCGCATCAGAGGCTATGGGTGTTCAGTGTCTTGCCCAGGGACACTTCGGCATGTGACTGCTGGTGGATTTGAACCCACAACCTTGCATTGGAGGACGACTGCTCTAACCACTCAGCCACAGCTGCCCCAAACAATATTTGACTGAAGCCCTCATGAATGCTGTTAAGTTGTTGCCTTTTGATTCAAACTTTAAAGCAAGAACATGTAAATGTTTAGTGGTATTTTAGAGTTGATGAGTGCAGAAATTTAAAACGCAAACCATATATCCACATGTTGTATAAAGGTTTATAATGTTTTTCTTTCTAAACACTTTTTCTTTTAAGTTGACTTTTTGTCTGCAGTGTAACGATGTTAACGGCTGGATTCACTCATCACCTCACTTGTATCGTTTCATTTTCTTTTCTTGTTGGTCTCATCTCACCTCTCTGTTCATTGCTTGCAGCCACAGTGCGAAGGCCGTGTGGAAGTCGAGGTAGACGCGGGCTCCGTGTTTTGAATAGCTATAGTAGTGAGTACAGTGTTACTATAGAAACCCCTGTGAAACCCTAGTTTGGTTCTACCTTTTTTCCTGCAAACTCTGCATCAACTCTTGCTACACAACCAACAAGTTTAAAATGAATGTAAAGGATCCTGACGATAAAGTAGGTGAGGGGGACAGAATTTGCCATCCTCCACCACCCTCCCCTAGCCAGATTGTCTTGTATGGATATTATTTTTGTGAATAAATTCTGAAGACCGGCTGCAGTGAGTCGAGTAATAAACATAGTAAATTAAGCCTTTATCAAAAGGAGATTCCCTAACTCCCATGTTGCAGCGTTTTTCAAATAGCCTAAATTTGACAAAGATCTAAAAAAACCTCCTGAATTTCGGTTATTGGTTTTTGTGCCACTCTAAGATTATCAGTGGCCTCACTTTGGCCACCACAATGAAAATGCTCTGGAGGCGCCTCTGAAACTGGATTCAATTGGAACATTAAATTTAGGACTCTAAAAAAAAAAAGTCCTTTGAGCATAAAAGTAGTTTTCTCAAAGAAAGTCTTGCTGAATACAAGCGTTTCTTGTTGCCCACTGCTAAAAGAATACAAAGAACCAAAATTGGTGTGGAAGTTCCCGGGGAGCTGAACTGAAACAGGAATGTGTTCTGTGCAGTTCACTTGTTAAACCTTTTTATTAACTTTATAAATCATGGTGGCAAGTAGAGCAGTTTTATAGACTGATAACTGTAGGGCCCAGTTGTTTCGACGTTAAACACACGCAGCAGAAAAGTCTTTAATATGTTGGGGCTTGCAAGGGTTTACAAGTGTGTTGTACACTAGAATTTGTTTGCCTTTATGCCACTAAACCTAAAATCATTTTGTTTGGGGGGGGTGGGGGGAATAAAGCAATTTTTAGAAGCGCATTTTATTCCTTTTTAGTCTACTTTTTAAATATTGTGTGCATACTTTTTAAATATTGTGTGCATAATAATTTAGGAAGGTTCAAATGAATGAAGCCAGTCTGCACACAGATGACTGATTCAGGCAGTATTTGACTGATCTTAAGATGTATAGTGCGATTTTCTGCTTTTGTTAAATTGCACAAAATATTTACCTAAACTTTAATGATGATCAAGTTCTTTTCAGTGCTAAAGCAGTTTGCAAGATTTTATTTCCAACGTTTTGTTTAAAACTCTGGGAAATTGCTCTTGTTCAGCTGTTAATGCACCAGAATCTTCAAACCCTTTGGCTTGTAAAATGACATTCATGAAAAACTGAACAAAAACGCAGATATTCATGGGAAATTAAAGTCTCTCTGCTTTGTTATTATTATTATTGTTATTATTGTTATTATTGTTATTATTGTTATTATTGTTATTATTGTTATTATTGTTATTATTATTGTTATTATTGTTATTATTGTTATTATTGTTGTTATTATTGTTATTATTGTTATTATTTATTATTATTTATTATTATTATTTATTTTTACAAATGTTTAACCAAACATGTCAAGATAAATATTAATGCAGTGATCTTGCATTTTAAGAAAATCTTTGTGTCCAAGACGTGCCTAAAGGCATGACAGTGGAACAAACTTGAGCTCTGCAGCGTTTTATCTTAAATTTTTTGTTTAGCCGTCCGCTCTACAACAGATCCATAAAATAATAAACGCACAAACGCATTGCTGCAGTCATTCCCTGCATGCAGCTTGTTGACTCAGATTCTCTGTCCTGACTAAGAACCCAATTCAGTTCATGCAAGAGATTTTCTGCACCAATTTGTTGTGCTAAACAAACAAAAAAAATCCCTATTCTTAACTGGTTTAAAAATCAGGAGACTCGCTAAAACAAGATGTCACCCTCATCACCACCATCAGATAAGAATCCATTATCAGTTAAAATAATGCAGGATAAGTAATTGTTTTAAAAGGGGCAGGAGTTCAGTTTATTCCAGCTTTCCATCTTTTCGTGAACTTTTCCTTCACTTTCCTTATTTCACCCAGCATGCCCATGGCTCAGCACATCGTGTAGTTTGTTTGCTGATGTGTCACAGCTTTTCCTTCAGCTGCACCTTTTTTTTTTTTTTTTTTTTTCAGAAGTGCTGTTCAAAGTGGTCTTGTTTGGTTTACCAGAGGAGTGTTTGATTTAATTTTCAGGTCCTCGGAAACGAAGTGGAAATACTGGCTCACAAACTGAGATAAATCCAGCACTCCTCGCTTCCCCTGTCCCCCAAAAACGTGAAGCAACATTTTAAAATTTTTGTGTGAAGTGACTTTTTTTTAGCTTGCTGGCTTTAAGTGTGTCAAATGTGCTAAGAGCTGTCTGTGACGTGATCTCGTGGTCAAGTTGCTTTTTGTTTCCACGTCCATGTTGCTGTGTTGCCTTGTTCTGATGCTGCCGCATCAGTAACAAGATCTGTGTGGAAATCTCTTGAAAACCATTTCGCTTCAAGAGAAATGTCATTTGAGAAGTGTTGAAGCATTGAAATAACCATTTGCTGTCTTTCATTTGCTTAATTTCTTTTTCACTTTAGTTGATTGCTTTAGTTGATATTATTTTTCCATTTATATTCTGATTTATGTTTTTGTCTAGATCATTGTTTGTACTTAAGATTTCACTCCTTGTAAATGTTGAATAAATTAAACTACATTTTTCTAAAAGCTCAAAGGATGCCATCTCCATGACTATCCTGCACCTCATCACTCCTCACTACTGTCCAGTACCAGTATTCTTGTATGTTTTCTCCTTCTGTACTTTTTCCCCTGAATGACAATGGCTCCTTGCATTGCCTGCAGTGAGGGTTTGGCTCCATACACCCATTCCTCTGTTTGAGCAGTTGTCATTGTGGAAATAAAGCACAAAGGGAAACTTGCTGAGGTCCTGTTTGTGAAGACATTTTTGCCTTTTTAACTTGGCAAGTCACTACTGGTGATGTAACTTGCCCCAGAATTTTACACAAAAGAGATTGAATCAAAGGCCCCACTTTGACTCTCTTGGAAACCATTTTCTCTCTTCAGTTTGACTAAATTGTTGCTTTCATGTCCAAATGGGGCCTCAGACAAGACTGGAAACATGATGACCCGAGGATATGAATCTTTACTTCAGATGAACTTTACTCACTCGTGATCTTTTGCCCTCCTTTAGGTTCCATTTCATCTCCAGGGTGGCGCAGGGGGTCTGTGACTCCCCGTATCACCACCATCCCATGCCCAGGCTGCCAGCATGACATTGATCTGGGCGAACGCGGCATTAGCATGTTGTTCCGCAACGTCACCCTGGAGAGCATAGTTGAGCGCTACAGGCAGGCTGCCCGTGCCGCCGTCGCAATCATGTGCAACATCTGCAAACCTCCACAGCAGCAGGAGGCGACCAAGAGCTGCATGGACTGCAAGGCTAGCTACTGTAACGAGTGCTTCAAACTGCACCACCCCTGGGGCACGCCCAAAGCCCAGCACGAGTATGTGGGTCCCACCACAAATTTTAGGCCCAAGGCAAGTAGCAGTTAGTTATGAAATATATTTTTCTGTTTATTTCCTAGAAGGCTCAAAATGTTTATTTCTTTGAAATTCATTATTTTGATTGGTAACTGAATTTTTTTTCATTTAGCCTTTATTTATCCAGGTAGTCTCATTGAGCCACGAGAACTCATTTTCAAGAGAGACCCGTTTAGGGAGCAGATGTTGGTTAAGTGCCTTGCTCATGGGCCCAGAGTGGGGTGAATGAGGGTGGGGGCAGGTGTGGGTGCTTCACCTACCCCACCCACATTTTTGATATTGTCTGTACCGGGGCTTGAACCGGCAATCTTCCGATCACAGACCCACCTTCTCTAACCTCTGCGCCACCACTCCCTAATATAAAAATAAATAAATTAATAAAACTGATTTGCAGTTTAAGCATCATAAAGCACGTGTGTGTGTGTGTTTTACATTTTTGTAAAGTCTTTGTTTACCTCACTACAGACATATTTGACTTCTTGGCATTAAAAATGTTACTATTTAATAGTTGTTGCACAGAACTTCCTGCTTCTGTAAAGCTAAAGTCATCTTCCTGTTTCACTCATCTAATTTTTATCCCATGTTGAGTTAAACCGACATGCAGTGATCTGTGTTGTTAAACACTACAGCTGAATGTGTCTGCATTTTTTTAGTCTATTTTTACCTCCTTGTCCTGTAGATGATGTAGCTTGTGTAACTATAGTCTGCAGCTGTGTTCAGCACTTGTAAGGACATATTTCTCTGCAGATAATGAAGTGTGTGTTGTCCCAAATGTTTCAGGTGCTCATGTGTCCAGAGCATGAGATGGAGAAGGTGAACATGTACTGTGAAGTCTGCAAACGACCAGTGTGCCACTTATGCAAGCTGGGGGGGTCCCACGCCAACCACAAAGTCACTTCGATGAGCAGCGCTTACAAGATCCTAAAGGTAACGGACTTTGTGGCTCTTTGAGAAAAGATGAGTTGATAAATGGTTCAGGTATCAGCTGAAACTGAATATACTTAAAAGTGGTTTTATCTCAAGTGGTTGGGTGCATTGGAGTGCAACACAATACAGTCTTATGATAAAGTTTAATCTAAGCATGCATACAATGCCACAGTTTAGTGTCTTAAAGTTGTCATGGTTTGGGAAGGTGCAACAGGTCTGGAACTTTGAAGTATTGATATTTTAAGACTAATGCCTCAAGTCGAGTACAGTAACTTGTGTTCGAGTCATTGTCACAAGATCAGACAAAAGTTGTAACATTTTTTAAATTTATTTAAACCGATTCGAGGCATTTGATGTGAAAGAGGTTTGAGGGAAATGAAAATCATTTAATTCCGTTTCAGCTCGGTTTATTTAAATAACACCAAGTCACAACAGAAGCCGTCTCAGGGCACTGTACAAAAACATTCATACATTAAAAAAAAAGAAAAAAAATCCAATTAATTTTTTTATATCTAAGAAAGCCAGCAGATTGTGTTGAATCTTCACTTTTTCAGTCTCCAATTGTGAGCAAGCACACTGGCAACAGTGGAAAGGAAAAGGCTCCTTTTTAACAGGAAGATCCCTCCAGCAGAACCAAGCTCAGGACGAGTGGCCGTCTGCTCAACCAGCTGGCTGGGTTTGAGATGACAGGAAGGAGGAACAAACAAACAAACACAGAGTGACAGGTCCAGGTGTACTTTTTTTATTGGAGAAAAGACAAACTAAAAAAAACCCTGAGGATGGAAATGATTACAAATAAAAACAAGTAGAGAAAGTAAAGACGGCAGCTGAATGAGGAAATGTGGTCAGTTTGTCCTCCAGCAGTCTCAGCCTATAGCACCATAACTAAGGGATAGCTCTGGAAACTCAAGCCAACACTAACTATAGGATTTATTAAAGAAAGACTTGAGCCAAATCTTAAAACTGGACAATGTGTCAGCCACAGACAGAAACTGGGAGTTGGTTCCACAAGAGAGGAGCCTGATAACTGAAAGATCTTCCTCCCATTCTGCTTTTGTAAACTCTAGGAACCATGAGTAAACCTGCATTCTGAGAGTGAAGTGCTCTGTTAGGAAAATATGGAACAATAAGATCTTTTTAATGTAAGATGGAGCTAGGTTGTTGAGAGCTTTGTAGGTTAGCAGTAAGATTTTGAATTCTATTCTGGACTTGACAAGGAGCCAATGGAGAGAAGATAAAACTGGAGAGAGATGATTTCTCCTACTAACTCTCATTAAAACTCTGGCAGCAGCATTTTGGATCAGCTCAAGAATTTAAAAAAAAAAATTTTGGACACTCTGATAATCAACAATTGCAATAGTCTAGTCTAGACGTGACAAATGCATGGACCAAAATTTCATGGCAAGTATTTAGTTGTCCTCTACCATGGGCTGCCTGGTCCTTGGATACATTTTCTCCTGTTGTAAAATTGATACTGGACCTGTATCTATGTGCCAGACTGTATCTCTTTGGAAACTGAAACCTGGGTTGCTTAAGGTGCGTGTGTGGCCATCAGAGTTTTGCTGCCCTGCTTTAATTTTTAATCCGTTTGAATGTTTTGTTTAGGTACAGAGACACACAGAGGTAATCTATGACACAAGGCAACATAAAGAAGATATCTTGAACCTTAAAGAGGGCTACTCTAAAATAAAGTTTATTGAACAGCATCTAAATCTTATTAACTTCGTCCAGGCCAAGGGTTTGTGAGCTGAATCAACAAGTCAAAGCAGAAGTGAATTTCAGCTCTCGTCTGTGTGAATACAAACATGCTGCGTAATATTTAATGAGACCATTTGTTTCCCATCATTTGTGCATTCATTGTAGCATCAGTTTTGGTGCAGAGTGTATCAGATGTCCTGAGTGGTCCGGAAAACCTTTGCCGATGCAGCGATGGGTCAGGTTTCAGTTGTCCTGTTGTTTGTGGCATGTTTTCATTAATCAAGAACTACTAGCTGCTGTTTCGAATGATGTGAAATGTGAGGGAAGCCTGTTTAGACCAGGTGATTTTTAAATGTGAAAGCGAATGGAACCACGTCACTCCTCTTAATTCCTTAAGTATGCCAAATTTAAACACTTGGATGTTTAGAACGAACGCTATTTGAAAGCACAAAACTATTAAAATAACCTTTAAAACTCTGTTTGCTGTAAATTCCTTTGTCTCCATCCTCAGGAGAAGCTGGCAAAGAGTATCCATTACCTCATCAGCAAAGAAGACCGGGTCAGGACTCAGATTACCGAGCTCGAACAGCTGATCAATCAGACTGAGGTGAGGATGCTGACTCACGCTGGTTCATCTCAAAGTAAACATCCTGAAAGTTTTGGATCTTTGACCCAAATGAGCCTCAGGTTCTCCCTCGTATTGTATTTTAAGATTTCCCATCAATGAAATTGATCTTTTTCTTTGTCACTTTTAAACTCTTCTATTTTAAATGTGTCCCTTTTTTGTATCCCATTCATTCTTCACTCTTTTTTTAAATGTGAAACAATATATGAATTCTTGGAAGATGTCAGTCTTTACCTTGTGTAGATAAAAAGATTTGTCACCCCAAGAAACTGCCTCTGAAAATAGTTCACTTCTATTGTGCAGCGTGATTATGATGAACATGTGCTTAAAAACCTGTTCATGAGGCTATTTTTATTTGTTTTGTAAAAAAAAATGAAAATGGAAGTATTACTTTCTGAAAACCGGTCAGTGTGGCAACACAATGAAGCGTTCTGGGTATGAATTTACAAAAAGGCCTGCAAACCACACAAACTTATAAATGCAGGGTTTAGCTATTTTCTTACACCGGTGTTTCAGCTTCAAAGCCTTTTCTCCTCTTCACTTTTGAAGTTGCACCTGAATACAAGAATGATCAAAGTGTGTCTAAGTGGTTATGAAAGCAGTTTGGTATGCTCTGTAGTTTTTAAACGAACAATAGCTGTTCTCCGTTTCACCTGTAACTGTGCAATAAACCTTGATGCTTTTGTCTTGAAGAGCATTGGTTACAAAAAAGGGTTGGTTTGATCCTTTAAATTGCCGCAAATGCAACATAAAGACTTAAATTAACACAACTATCAAAATAATTGAATGGTAAATCCTGAGTTGCACAGTGATGTTTACTCGTCCATTTCATGAGTTTTCAGTGTTCTTCTGATAAGTCATTGTGTTAACGCTTAAAAAATATTTTTTTCTTAAGTCAAGAACTTTTAGGGAGAAATGTACTCATTTGATTTAATTGTACTCTTAAAGGAAAATGGGCAGCTAGCAGAGCGTCAGGCCAACGAGCACTTTGAGCGTCTGTTTGAGACTCTTCAAGAAAGAAAATCAGAGATGCTGAAGTCCATTGAACAATCTCGTAACAGACGCCTGGATCAACTGAAAACCCAGGTACAAAATGCCAAACCTCTTATTTCTGTACGTGGCCCTTTTTATGTTGCTGCTTCATTATGTTCTTAGTTGATATAAAACTAGATCACATTATAATGTCTTCTTTTCAAACATAAAATAACAGGCATTGTTTCCCCTCGATGTTATTGGCATGCCATGCCAATAATTGGAATTGTACTGATTTTAAATGTTTCCTAGATGGACGAGTACCAGGGTATGCTGGAGAACAGCGGGCTGGTTGGTTATGCTCAGGAGGTGCTGAAAGAGACAGATCAGTCCTGTTTTGTACAAACTGCAAAACAGCTTCATGTCAGGTTTGCAGCAGATCATTCATCTTCCTAATTATGTTTGCCACAAAGTGCTGTTTTATCTATGGATTACTTGTACACAGTGGTGTAGTCTACATTTTTTTTTTTGTGGGTATACTGTGCTTAGAAACTAATGTACACTGATTAATACAATGTAATCCTCAATTTATTTTGATTTTTAAGTATATTGAACATTTCCAAATTTCTCTGCTTATATTTGAATGAATGAACAAACTTTGTACAACAGTTGGCTTTGTATTAAAACCATGTTATAGAATTTATAAAACGGTATTAAAGCAAAACATGTTCAAGTATTAAATAGTAAGTACAGAATTCAGTGTTTCGCCTAGTTAACTTGCCATGGCGGGGTGCTCATCTCATCCATGATTTTTGTTGCCGGGGGGGATGGACACATGTCTGAGTGTAGCAGTTTTTGGGTGGGGGCGTTCAGCTTGAGGGAAGAAGCAACGCGAGTGCTGCCTTTAGTTTTTTTTAGCTAGAGAGCCTGTATTTCGCGTCACTAGCTTAGTGCTATGTCAGTGCCTGGTGGGGGGGCCAAGTTCGGTTTGGTAGGCGGGGTGTTCAGTTCTGTTGACGGGGTGGGGCACCCCGCTTGTATAATGGTAGGGGAAATACTGGAATTATACATTAATTCGCTTGATAAGCGAATCTAGTAAACAAACGCTGCATATGGATAGATCAGCGTTTCCCCTACCATTATACAAGCAGGGCGCCCCGTCAACAGAATAGAGCGCCCGGTCTACCGAACCCCACCCCCAACCACCTGTTGGCACTGACGTAACACTAAACTAGTGGCTCGCCATGCAGGTGCACTAGCTAAAAGGCTAAAGGCAGCCTCTTCCTTCATGTTGAACCCTCACGCTGAACGCACCCCCGCCACTCAAACTGTTGGTACAAACAGCGCACGGCTCAGATGTGCGTCCGTCCGTCCCGCCCCCCCCCCCCCCCCCCAAAACAAAAACTGCGGCCGAGATGAGCGCCCCGCCATGGCAAGTTATCTAGGGGAAACACTGTAGATTGTTACAGAAGCATTTAACTGCTGTTTAACATATCAATGACTCATGCCTAATTATATTTCTTGTATCATTTGACACTTTTTGAGTGGCTATACTGAAATTCTTGGGCTTTTCTAGTGGGTATACTCCGTATGCTTGCATATCGCATAGACCACACCACTGCTTGTACATAATGTTAAAAGGCAAGACTTTCAGTCTGCATATTGAACGGCTTAAAAACAAAAATGTGTACTTTTTTTTTTTTGTCCCTGTACATGTTGAGGGTCAATGTTCAATCATGACTGTCTGCAGGACCTAATATTCTAGATGTTGGAAATCATTTAGGTTTCATTTAAGAAAAACTTGCAGTTTTGTCTGTCTATATACAACACAATAGCACCATACAACATGGCTGGTCTCACCACTGTCTTGTAAACTTTTCCTTTCATCTTTGCTGACATCCTTTTGTCACAAATAACTCCTGAAACAATTTTACATCCACTCCATCCTGCCTGGACTTTCTTTTTCACTTCTTTACTACACTCCCCATTTTCCTGGACAGTGGACCCCAAGTGGTGCACCTTTGTGACCTCTGCTCCTTGTAGCCTCACTGTTCCACCTCCTCCCTCTCATTCACACACATGTACTCTGTCTTACTACAGCTGACTTTCATTCCTCCTCTTTCAAGTTCATACCTCCACCTCTCTAAGTTCTCTTCCACCTGTTCTCACCACAGATCACAATGTCATCTGCAAACATCATAGTCCACGAGGATTCCTTCCTGACCTCATCTGTTAGTCGGTCCATCAGTATTTTATAACAATTAAGCATAAATTACAACAGCAATTTTGCGTACAATCTACACACAGTTGAAATTGTCTATCTTGTACCATCTGATGCCTCATTTGTTTCTTCATAGATTTCATACATTGAATTTGGTGTTTATTGTGCGAGTCGGAGCATGTGTTGAAGCAACTGGAGTGTGTCAGGAACTCACACAGACACGTGCACACTGGTTACTAAACTCAAGGGCAGATGAAATCCATTTGCTGCAGTGTCCAGTCAGAGCTGAGTGTCGGTGTATTTCTGCTTTAAGCTGACTAATTGATCTGCATTAGCAGCTTTAGATATTCTGGGAGCCTTTTCACTTAAGATAATAGTGCTGTGGTATGTTTGGATCCCTCCTGTCAACAAGGAGTTTCTGGTCTCTTCCTTTTTCTGTAAAAGACGATGTAAACGGTTGTAGTTGACTAATATAGCTCCAGGGGAAAAAACAAACAAACTTGCATGCCTGCATCATAATGGTCTTCTTCTCAGAATTACTAGTTTTAGTTTTGGGTACTTTCAATGCGTCTAGTTTTTAGAAAATGGTTTTTTTTGTTGTTTTTTTTTCTTTTTTTGTATTTATTTATTTACAGGTAATCTCACGGAGATAACTAGTCTCATTTACAAAAAGATCTGTAACACAGACGCATAACATCAATTGTATAGAATAACAGTGCAACAATCTTAAAACATTATCTTAATCTACTTTCTGTTTTTAGGATCCAGAAAGCCACAGACTCTCTGAAGACCTTCCATCCTTCAGCTGACCCCTGCTTTGATGAGTTTGTGCTCGACACGTCCAAAGAAGAAGCTCTGCTTAAAGAAATGTGCTTTGGAGGAGGTACAATACTTTTTATTTTTTTTACACTTCATTTTTTTATTTTATTTTATTTTTTTATAATTTACATCAATAAAATAAACTGTTGTAATTTTCAGGACATTCATATGTTTACATGTTTATGTCTGAACAGGAGGTCACTGGTTGTTTGTTTTCCTTCATCATGACCGAACGTTCATGTCAAATAAAGGCTTTCTGGGTTTAACGGGGTGGACCATCGGCACCAGCAAAGCCTTCTCTGCTGGCCTAAACACAATCAGGCTGTGACTGCAGCTGAAGGAAACTTGTTAAATTGTGTTAATTGGGTTTCTTGCTTTAGTAATGGCATCCATTCTCACTACATGAGATACCAGTCTGTTATGCAGCACCATATCAGAGTTAGAGAGTCAGAGATTCTTTATTGTCATTCATTATGTGATACATGTGGTGGAGCAAAATTATGTACACAGGGCCCCAGGTACATCCAACAATAAAATGTAAAAGAAAAACGATGATAACATCGAAGATGTGAACCAAGAAAAGCATCAACTAAATATACACTAAGCACTAATGGCATGAAAACATTACGTCGAACATCAGCACAAACATGAACATGAGTCTGTTTGAGCAGATGAGCACGCATGAACACATCAACACTGAAACAGATCAGCAGCAACACTGGAAAAATCACATGTTTCTGCTGATCGGTTTCAGTGATTATCCTGATTAGAGATTAATGAGTCTAACAGCCTCAGGGTAGAAGCTGTTCCTCAGTCTAGTGGTTCTGCACTTAATGCTCCTCAACCTCCTTCCTGAGTGGAGTGGGGCAAAAAGTGTGTATGCTGGGTGAGTGGGGTCCTTCATGATGCAGGTGGCCCTCTTCCTGCATCTGGAGATGTAGATGTCTGTGATGGTGGGGAGACTGACTCCTACAGACTTCTGTGCAGCCTTCACCACTCTCTGCAAAGCTTTTCTTTCTGCAGCTGTGCAGCCTCCATGCCACACGTTGATGCTGGAGCACAGGATGCTCTCCACTGCACACCTGTAGAAGGAGGTGAGGACTGAGCTTCCTAGACCAGCTCATCTCAGCCGCCTGAGGAAGTAGAGTCTCTGATGAGCTTTCTTGATCAGGCTGGTGGTGTTGTTGCTCCAGCTGAGGTTGTCGTTCATGTGTACACCCAAGTACTTGTAGCTGGAGACCACGGCCATATTCTACCACATTGCACATTATTGATGATTTCTGTAGTCGTGGCATCATAACGAGGGTGGTGTTAAGAGGTGGATAAACACCATTGAAGGCCTAGGTGTAAAATGCACGGCCTGCCACTGGGTTTTAACGATGTTAAAGACGTGAGTGCCAGAATAAGCCATTTGTAATCACCTGCCTGTCACATGCTTAGCCCTGTGAATTGTGCTGTGCTGAGAGGTCAGCTGTGGTTTTCAGGTTGAGACTGAGTTCCTCTCACTGTAGATTTTACTGCTTTTTGAAGCCCGGTTCTGGTCTGCTGGTCAACATAGGCTGCTTTTAGCTTTGCTTTTTATTATGAGAAGAGGACGAGTTGAAGCACGTAACGGAACTGTTCATGTTTAAATCACACTCTAGTCCATGTTTGAATACTTTTTATTTTCTGTACAAGCTAAAACCAGTAAATCTGAATAAAGCATTAATGTTTATGTATTTTGATTTCTGCTTGATACAGACATTATAATTCATTCCACTCTGTAATGTTTTACTGAAACTAGTCTTTAACTTGGATTTTTAGGCTTTCAGGTCTTTAAATATAGATGTGTATTTAAAAAAGGAAACTACAAGTTTAAAGTAGTTCAAAGTTTTAAATAAAGAAATTAGGTAATTGATAGATGACACAAGGAAATGTGTGTGTGTGTGTGTGTGTGTGTGTGTGTGTATGTGTATATATATATATGTGTGTGTGTGTGTGTGTCCTTGTTTATGCTACTTTGTGAGGCCCATTTTTCCAACTTATACTACATTGTGGGGACCAACTGCTCCTTATGGGGCCCAAAACCCGGGCCCCATAAGAAGAAGTCCCGTTGGTGGGTTAGGGGCTAGGTTTAGGACTAAGGTGTGAATTGAGGATGTGTTAGGTTTAGGGTTTGGTATGTACTGGTAATGGTTAGGTTATGGATAAAGGTCATGGTTAGGCTATAGAAATGAATGAAAAATGAATGGAAGTCAATGCAAAGGCCCCACAAAGATAGCAAAACAAACCTGGGTGTGTGTGTGTGTGTGTGTGTATAAAAAAAAATACAAGAAGATTTTAAACAAAAAGCAAAAACAATTTATTTGTTGCACCATTTAGTGAAAATGGTTATTTTGTGAGACTGAGCTAGTCTTATTCTGACTGAGTGATGGTTTATGACATTTGGCTGAAGCTCATTTTTAACTGGGGAACATTTTGAGTCATTGTCTGATGGACGGGGTGCTCCTAAACGTATTTAGTTTCAAACGGTGACTGGGTGTTGACGGTTCTTTCAGTCATATCTGGACATGGTGACAGCTGATCGTGTTTAGGGCCTCTCAGAACTCAGAGCTGTCCGATGCCAGTAAAGCATGTGGTTCTGAGTGAGATGTTCCCCGATACTTTAAATGTAGGAACGAAGTTGGAAATGACAAATTTCTGATACTGTAGAGAATTGACATGCCTTGATGCACATCACATAGTCCTCAAATGCAGAGATACGACTTTTGTTGGACTGTTGGTGACCAAAGCTGAGAGAGGACATCACATGAATCTGTGCTTCTGGACTTTAGTTTCTACACTGAACAGTTTGTTTAAAATCATTAATGTCACAATAACTTTAAAAACTCAGTCTAGATTTAAGCATTAGCTAAGTAAAAACTGAGTGCACGCTTATTTTAATATTAGACGCACATAAATGGGCTAAACTATTTCCAAAATGGTATGTTATAAAGTTTATTCATTTTAAAAATGCAAAACGGTTTCTTAACTATAAAAAATACAAGAGATTTTAAATGAAAGGCAGAAAGAAGAAAAAATCTTATATCTGCCCCTTTTTTTTTCAATTAGTTCAGTCATAATCTTCAAGTAACGGAACAAAATGAATAACTCTTTCTAATTTTTCTAATTCTAATACAAAAAAATACTTTATTCCCCCTTTTCAGGTTTTCATTTAGAACTCTTCCTAAATGACAGATTTAGCTTCTTTTGGTTTTTTGTGTGTTAAATGTCGTCTTGAACCCCATTCTTTCTGGAGGAGGCCACAGTACATGGCACATTTAGGTGGCTGTTGTATTTATGTGCTCCTTTCATCAGTTCAGCCTGCAGGCCTTTTCTGCAGTGACTCTCGCCGTGCTCTGGGAGGGAAAAGCTGCAGTGGAAGCGTTTCTGTGCTGTAGTAATTTAACTTGATCTTGGCAGAGGATGCTGCAGGAAACCATCTCGAGAAAGGAATACAAAACGTTCTTGTTTGAACATGCGTTTTAATTGTTTTTGTGGAGTAAATCATGTTTTTGTATAAACCCATACTGAATTTTCCTTGATGCTTATCGTTCGTTGTTTGTTTTTTTTCTTGCTTCTCCTGTTTGTCATTTACTTGGAATTTGCCAATTATTGGATCATTCTGTACTTTCTTTCTGAAGAAACTTAACATTCTGGAATTTTAAGCCTAAGATTTTTAGACATTTTATTTAAATGTTGAGCTTAGAACCAGGATTTTACTTGTTTTCAACCTATAGATTCTCAGTGTTGAAAGTAAAGTATAAAGCCCTTAAGAGAATGCCAGTGTGTTTTTGATAGATTGATGACTTCATTAAGCTCTAAGGGAAATTAGGTTGTCATACCCGTTTCCAGGTATTTCACAGAATTATAATGGCAACATAAAAATAGCAAGCGAAAAGTACAGAAGACCATGCAAAAACAGGAACAGTACAGTCGGGTTATTTTCAGGTACATTCAAAAAATAATTTGAATATTGTGGAAAAGTTTAAAATTTGTTGTCACTTACTTCAGAAAGTGAAACTCCTGTATTACACATTAAACATGGAGTGAAATATGCCAAGTCTTTATTTCTTGTAATTTTGATGATTATGGCTTACAAATAATGAAAACTCAAAACTCGGTGTCTCAGAAAATTAGAATATTCTGATAAAGTTCCATACTGGACACTTGTGCAGACTATGCACAGATAATCGAAGACATGGGGCAACAAATGTCCCATTCCTCAGGTCACCACTCCTGAACCAGACCATATCAGACATGTCTAAAGTTTTTGTCGTTCATTTAAACTAGAAATGCTCTTTACGCAACAGTTATTACCCATGTTGCACATGTATAACTAAAGTCCTCTGCTTTTTGCAAAACGGAGGCTGTGATTAAAAGTTAAAGAAGAAGAATGTAAATGTCAGTCAACCCATGAAGGAAGTATTTTGAGGGAAGGGAATGCACAATATGAGACGACTAGGGTGAGAAAATCTTGTGAATAGGATGAGAGGATATTCTTATGAGAATTATGATCTGTGTAAAAATGTCCTATTGAGTGAAAAATGTGACCTACATAGTTTCAGTAATGTGATTCAGTGTATCAAGTGTGCTTCTCAAAGTAACTTAAGACACTTGAAGAGCTTGTCTAACAGCAGTCAGAATAAATAAAAACGTGTAAATGAATGTAAAGGCAGCACCAGATGGAGCTCGGCAAATCTTGAAGAACTGACGGTAAATGTAGCAACATGGTGAAATGATGGAGGAACCACTAAGTGCGAGAGAGGAAGTGAGAAGTACTGTTGAGTGGAGATGTTTTTTTATTTTAGCTCACTTCCGGACAGTCTGTAAAAACCTTTTAAAGTCATTATGCAAAGTAGTCTTCTAGTTCACGCCATTCTTCTGAGTGGACCGTCCTGATCTGAACAAATCTAATCTTTGTACTACTTACAGTAATTCATGTTTGTAAACTTAAACCTGGCACAAAAGAACTATTGCACATTATTTTAATAAATAAAATAATAATAAATAATAATAAATAAACTTGTGTGTTGCTAGTTTTATGGTCAACTTTGTTCTCTGCCTCGACAGCACTTGTTTATATTTAATGCTAGTCTATTTTTTTTTTCTGTTCCAGTTCCTGATCCTCCACTGATTGACTTGTCCCACAGCAAAGTCTACAATGATGCATCAATCTGCTGGAGGCTGTCTGATGACCACCTGCCTACTGACCACTACGTGCTCGAGTACCGCAAGTGGGTTCAATCACAACTGTACAAGAGCGATTGGGAAGTCGGTGTTCATCTAAAAATAAAGTTAATTTATTTTCAATTAGGCTCGGGAGCTCGAGCCAGTCCTCATCCCAGGAGGATGGTGAGGAACATGGAGCCTGGAGGGCCACAGACCGAGTCTATGGGTCCAGCACTGTGGTGCACAACCTGGAGTCAAACGGTCTGTACGCCTTCAGAGTTCAGTGCCGCAGGAACTCCATGCTCAGCCCCTACAGCCCTGAGGTCACCTTCCACACGCCACCTGCACCAGGTAGACCCAGTCACATGATAAAATGTTCCTCACCATGATTCTCCTTCAAGTTTGTTCTTTTGATATTCCATGTATAGATTGAAAAGTTAAGAGGTGAGAGAGGAAACTGTTAATAAATGCACTTAATTTAGCTTGAACGACTGAGCTTAAAGGATCAGAAAAACTACATTTTATCTTTAACTGGAGAGCCAGCCCCTCATATTAGGCCCCATTTTGGCTAAAGAGCTAAGCTCCTACTGTCTTTAGTTCTCTGAGCACGTCTGAGTGAGAGCACTGAGACATGGGTGTAAGGATTATCAGATGACTGATGGTTTTGTTTTTAGATTTAAGTGCTTTTAAGTTCACAAGATGGAGATAATTAAGCAAAGATTGATTGATTTTTTTTTTTTTTTTTTTTGTCTGAAACGAACTATTTTAGATTTTGTCGATGTGCATGTGAGTGGATGATGTTCAATGCTACAGTTTGGAAAAGAAGCCTGCACTCTTGTTCTTTGCTTTCATTTATCTCTGAGGAGGAACAATACTTCAAATGGTAGATAATTCCCGTCTGTCTAACTTTAATTTTGCACCCTGTCCATATGAGAAGGTGACCTGGTTGTACTTTTCGAAGGAATGCTCTTCTTTAATTTGGCTGCTGCAAAGTTTTCTTTATAATGTGTAGTTGGTTTTTCACCCAACAAGTGTGGGGATTGATTTCATAGTTTAGGTCAAGGTTCTTTGTCATTCGCATCACATGTGATACATGAGGTGGAACCATGAAAAACATTATTTTATTTTTTTTGCATGTTTTGCAAATCCCATCAATTTTCAAATTTTGGTTGGTTTGCCTCAGGCTTGAAGTGGGAAATTAAATGCTCATTGTTTTCTAAAAATAATCGGGACGTCTTGAATCTGGTGTTTTAATGATGCATTAAATGTCAGTGGATTTTTTTAAAACAATTGCGCAGCTATCATTTAACCATAAAATTGAAGCCAGTTTCACAGAATGCACTCGAGTGTCGCTGACCTGAAAATGTTCTCCGTATTTCAGCAGTGCTGAACACGAGCTTGTTGGGGCTCAAATGCATTTATAAGTCTTGAGGTATCCATCGCTTTGTCACATAGCTGCTGCTAGGAGCACTCCTGCTACTTACAGTAACATCAAAGCCGTTCACCCCCCAGATGGCTTTACGTTAACATTTTCATGCCCTAGTCGTTTAGATGACTTTTCTTGATCCATGCAAATGAAGAGTCTTACCCAGAGCAGACTTCAGATTGCAGAGAGATGGCTGAGTGAGCAACCAGAATCATATCCATGTAAGAGTCCTAGATTATGGTAATAATGGCCTTTAGCCCATGAACTATTAATAGAATACATTTAATTGTGATCAGAATGATGTTTACATGTGAACTGGGTGCTGGCCATGAGCTGATCTCTTATTGTGTTATAGCGCCCTCTTGTGTCTGTATGTGCCAATGAATCCAAATGTATTGAGTCAATTTCCCTTGGAATGACCTTTTGTGTTTCTCTTCATCTACGTCCTTTTGTTCTTGTATCTCGTGCAGCTTTTGGCTTCCTGTTCAGTGACAAGTGTGGATTCAGTGCAGAGCGTCTCCTTCTGAACAGTCGACGAGACATGGTGGAGAGCGTGGCGGGCATGGCCTTCCTCCTCGCAGCAGAACGAGTGCAGACAGGCAGCTACGTCAGCCTGGATTACATAATTGGGGACACTGGCATCTCTCAGGGAAGGTACGCAAAGCCGTGCAGCATTAGCACTTCTTTAAAAATGGGCTCAGTGTGTTTGAGTGGCCGTTTTGCTTTAAATTATTATTTTCAGACACTATTGGGCCTTTAAGGTGGAACCGTCCTCTTATGTGGTTAAAGTTGGAGTGGCGTCGGACACCAAGCTGCTTGAATGGTTTCACAGCCCAAGAGATACCAGCAGCCCGAGGTATGTGCAACATACGCATGCTAAGGAACCTGTAAAGTATTTTCTACAAGCTGTCTTAGTAAACTAAGTCTGTGAATCATACTTGATCCTACTGTGATGCAAAAAAAAAAAAAAAAAAAAAAAAAAAGGCGGTATAAACTCCTAAAGAGCTTACACTCAGACAAAGCCCACCGTTCTCACTGGATCAACTTGAAGCATGTAAAGGAGCACCTTATTTTCACAAATAATGTGTGGTAATTGCAAAAGGCGATAAGCAGCAGGCGGCATTCAGCAATTAAATGGAAAGCAGAATAAACCTTTTTTTTTTTTTCCACTCTGGAACAAAATTGCCTGGAAAATCTGCTCGTGTGAGAGGAATAGTTAAGTGAGTAATATCTTTCAGGTCTGCTGCACTTTTATGATGTAAATATTAATGTGAAGTCTTGTTCTTTTGTTTGAAAGTAATTACTTTGACCCTTTTAGACAGAATCGTCTTAGTCTTTATGAAAATTTGAACACCGTCGACAAATTAAGTTCTGCAGCGTTGAAAAGCTGCAGCTCTGAAATGTATTTCTGTCCACACTTATCTATTAACGCGTTTGCTTTCAGCAGGTATGACCATGACAGTGGACACGACAGCGGCAGCGAGGACACGTGCTATGACCTCTCCCAGCCTTTCACCCTCCTCACCCTGGGCATGGGCAAACTCTTCATCCCTAAGACATCTTCCTCCTCCTCAGTGTCCAGCGCCAACGCATCGTCTGGTGACCCAGGGAATCGCATGCTGCCCATGCCGCAGCGTATCGGCGTATGCTTGGATTACGACGCTCAGCGAGTGTATTTCTATGACGCCGACACCATGAGGTGCCTTTACGAGAGGCAGGTGGACTGTTCAGGAACCATGTATCCGGCTTTTGGCCTTATGGGCAGCGGGAAGGTTCAGCTGGAGGAGTTCATCACTGCTAAGAAACTAATTTTCTGAGGGGAATGGAGGGTGTTGATGCATATGGAGTGAATCTGATTCATCCATGGAGCATCTTGTTTTCTTGACAGGGTGAAGTTGAATCCAAACTTTTTTATTTTTTTCATTTTAATTTTTTAAATTTTGACTTTCAGGGCCTTTTTTGCTAGGATAACTGCCCTGTGAGTAGTTTAATGTGTCCACACACAGAGGCCTTCAGAGGCTGGTGTAGATCTAAATCAAGCTCTCTGCATACCAAAGTCTCTGTGTTGGACCTGCTTTTAATTTGCAGCTGGGATCAGCTGTTGAACTGGCTGCACACCCTGCAGTCACTTTATATCTTTTAACATAGCCCTACACACTTAGACTCTCTCTTTTGCCACATTCATTATTATTATTATTATTTTGTAAATGTGTTCTTTGTTTAAAGATGGCAGCACAGATTTCGATGTAATGGTAAAGAGTCTGAGAGACGGTTAGAGCTACTTTTAAAGCTAGCACCTTTGTGCCTTTTTATTTTCCTCATGGAAAAGGATCACTGCGTTACTGACGTTCATTATGACCATTTTACTCTTGGATTTATCACTGAAAAAACACTACTTTCCATTAGTTTACACAATGAAAATAACTTTTGCACAGTAACTTCACTCAAACTAATTTAATGTTTTCCTTTAAACGTCAACAAACAGCACATTGATGTTTTACATTCACGCTCACAAGTTTCCACCCTTTTTTTTTTTTTTGCTTTAAAAACTGAATGCTGGATTTAAAAGCCTCACTTTTCTTTAGAACTGCAACATCAAACATCACAAACGTGTCCAACTTCAAGAACACAATGTCTGTTTTACAGCCTAAGCTTTTTTCACTCTGGTGCTAATTTTAGTGCAACACTCGGCCTCGCCGCCTTTGAACAGCTCAAGATGTTTCAGGTTGTGGAGTGCGATCACAGCAGCACCTCTGCTGCCTGAACCAAGCTTTGATTTGCAGTTAAGTGTAACTAGTTAACTCCTGTTGGGATAGAAGTCGAACACACTGGACTGGATTTATCTTTTGGACACTACACTTATTGTATAAATGTGATTTGTGCCTGCACGTGGTAGTTTTTGTTTATACATTTGATGTATATTTTGACTTCTGGAGGGTTAGGGTAATAGTTGTTTGTTTTCTCAGGTTTCTGGCTCAGTTGGCCCAAACTACCTACCTCGATCAGTCGGCCCTGGAAAACCTTAATCACTGTCCCTCTCCTGACAGAAACAGTTTAGTTTAGTTTGCTATTTTAAAGATTGCTTTTCTCTTTTTTTTCAAATAAACGATTTTTAAACTTTTTTTTTATTTTTAAATTTCTGTACATATCCTAGAATATAATTTCAGTGAAATAAACCACGTCATAGCCGTTAGTGGAATTAGTTTGTGTTTGTAGATCACGACCGAGGAGGAAGCTGCTGTAAGCAGAAGTTGATCTTTTCAGCTGCCTTTTTCAAACGGCGCACATTTTTCTCTCATTTGTGACGATAGTTCAGATTCTTTGAAATAGTTATTTTTTTGCTTTTACCAGGACCAATGTTGTTCTCCAGTTTCAAGGTGAAGTGTTTGACTGCTGTGACTGTGTATATTTAGTCCTTCAACTGTCTGTCCAGTCCTCGCAGACCTGAACCCAGTCATTTTCAGACATCTATGCATTTAAGAATTGGCTGTAAGGGTTCAGTTTTATTTCCACACAGAATGTATTTCTGATAACTGCAGAACTGAATGTTCCTTTATTTTGTTTTTAAATTGTATTTTTGGGAGTCAAATGTATTTGCATGTAAATAAAGAGAAAATGTCAATAGCATGACGATTAATCTGAATATATCTATCCTGCTTCTCAGTCTTGAATTTGGTACCAAGTAATGCACAGACTGATTCAATCTAATCCCAAAATGGCACTTTAGAAATCTGTAGCATGTCTGCAAATGTTTAGCTCTGCAGGTGTGTTTAATCATTGTGTGTGTGTGTGCAATACTATTAAAGAAACTGTTGGTCTGAGGAGAGAAATCCTTTAATGACAATTTGCACTGTTAACAGTTTAAAGGCTGTTTTCTGCTTTTAAAGGGATTTTCTTTTGTTTTTTAGCTGCAAGGGAATGTTAAACAATCAGTACATGGCTTATTCCCTTCACAATAATTCCAAATTGGCCACAACTCCTTTGTCTGTGTGTTTTCTGCTGAGGATTTGGTGTGACGTGTTAAGTGGTGGGTTTCTCTGTAAACATGTGGAAATGAATATTTTGTTTTCTGGGTCCAGCACGTCTGCTGTGCTGTGCAGGGTCTTCAACAAATAAAACTGTACCAAATAAAATGTCTATTGTTTTAAATGTAAAATAATTGCATGTTTAATTTGTGCCATTAATATTGTGAAACAGTTTATTTTCAGTGTAGAAAGGTAAATAAGTTTAGCAATCGTCAGGGTTTGATGAACATGATTAAAGTAAATTATCTTAAAACGAGCATTTCGAGGCAATTTGCTTGTTCCTTCCCCAAAAAGAGAAAAATCTGATTTTTCTAAATTTAAAAATGCTGAGTGCTTCACAAGTTTAGAAAAAAAAAGTCTTAAGTTGCCTTTAATAGCAACCCTTTACATCACGACTTTGTGAAACGTAGTGACAAAACTGTAAAATAAAGTGCAAAATATTTGTCAGAAATTGCATCATTTGTAACAAATCTGTCAACCTTAAGGTAATAAGTGCTCAAACACTGATCAATTCTTTAAATCTGAAAGGAAAAAGTAAAATAATTAAAAATAAACATCTGAAGTCTTGTTTATTTTAACTATTGTCTTTGATGTATGCAATTAAACCCTGTATAATAAGTTTACTATAAATATCGTACTACAAATCAGTAGTAAATATTTGTATTTATTCATTGGGG